AAATAATTGAAATAATTGAAATCATGGGTTTCCGATTTCAATTATTTCAATTATTTCAATTATTTACATTCTCATTAAGTGTATAAGGAGGCAACAGGGCGTCAAATAGACCCTAGAGGCGCCTCTCTCATATATAGATAGATAGATAGATAGATAGATAGATAGATAGATAGCCATATCTATACATACATACATACATACATACATACATACCTACGTACGTACGTACATACATACATACATATATATATATATATGTACATGTGTATATATATATATGTGAATATTTCTCAATGTGAAGCTCAGTGTGAAACTTGATCTCAAGGACGTGGAGAACTAGATGCCTATATTGTATGAAATGTACCACTCTCATTGTGAAGCTCAGTGTGAAACCTGAATCGTAAAGCTTGACCTCAAATGGAATGTGATCATTCAAGATTCGAGAATATATCAACAGCGAGCCCCTCTCAGTTAGATAGCTGTCAGAAGTAGTTTAGTGCCTACGACTCGAAGCGCGGATCTAGCTTTGAGTTTAGGGTAAAAAAATATGTGTATATATATATATCATATCATATATATATATATACCTGTACACATATGTATGTACGTATGTATATATATATATATGTTTTCATTTATTCATTTATTTATCTGTTTATATTCATATATCCGAGAAGAGAGTTCCCATGTTGGTATCAGCGAGGAGAATCTTCAGAAGCCCCGTGGAGTCCGGGCCTCGCCTCGGGTTTTGGGGTTTTCATAGAGTTTAGGGTTTAGGGTTTAGGGTTTAGGGTTTAGGGTTTAGGGTTTAATGAGTAGGGTTCCTTTAAGGGTTCCATAGGGTTTCGGGCTTTGGAGATTAGGGCTTTAGGGTGTAGGTTTGAGGGTACGGGTTTCGGGCTGGATACTGCCCATACTCTGTAACAGTCTGTAACAGTTGAATAACTATCGAGGGGTTTGGGGAGTAGGGTTGAGGGCTTAGGTCATTATGTGGTGAGGTTTTTGGGTTTGGGCATCAGCCTTTACGGATGGGGATCAGGGCTTAGGTGATTAGGGTTTGGGGATGCTGGTTTGGGGATTAGGGCTTAAGGTTTGGGAGCGATGCAGGTTAAGGGTTTTGGGAGTAAGTGACGGTATTTAATTGGGGTTTAGGGATTTAGGGCATGGGCTTTAGAGTTTAGGCTCGAGCGTTAGGGTTCAAGGCGTAGTGTTCAGGGGACCTCGTTCATAGTTGTTCCTTGCCACAGGTTCTGAATTCGCCCGATCTAATCTCGAAGGTAAGTCTTGCAGAGTTTTGGTCCAAGTATTCATTGTGAGACCATAGCATAAGACTTTACGTTTGGCACGGCTGGCGAGATGTTTAATGGGCTGCGGCCAAGGATTTGGGAATTGTTGGTGTCCCCCATAGACTACCGTCCTTTGGGGAAGTTCGCCGTTTGCATGCAAGCAAGTATACTTAGTAGCGCAGTACGTACCCCTTAACCTGACGACCTGATTTGGGTAACTTACACCCTAAACCGTTTCTTTGTGGGAATGGGAACCCGACATGATTCTACTCTTAATACGGCACGCTATAGTTTTGGGAGTTTGGGAACACAAGAGGGTCCTTAGTTTTGACAACCAGCTCCATAATTTATGTCCTACAGGTTAACCCTCATCCCTAAACCCTAAACCTGTACATCTTTAGGGTTTAGGGTTTAGGGGTTCAGCAAACAGGGTTTGTTCCCCAACGATACTGCACAAGAAAGACAAGGAGCCGCGCGCAGCCGAAGAAGCTGTAAAAGCCAAAACCTGGATCACGGTTTGGGTTTCGGGTTAGAGTTAGAACCCTAAACCCTAAACCCTAAACCCAGTTAGAAGTGTATGGGCCCCTAACATGGACCCTTAGGCCTTCTAGAGGGGGGGGGAGCTAAGGGCCCTTAAGGGTAAATGTAAGGTATGTAGTAAGTCTATAGTTTTAGGTTTGAGGACCTAAAACCAGAACATGTCCCAAACTTGACCTTAAGGGTTTAGGGTTCAGGGTTTAGAGTTTAGGGTTTAGGAAACCCTGAGCCCTGAACCTTGGACTGCAGCCTTCAGCAGGAGAGGAAACATCGTGTTCTCTCCTTCTCGCACTTCCTTCCACGGCTGGAGCTCATGCCAGAGAAGCGAAACCTGGCTCCAATAAGGGGTTTAGGGTTTAGGATTCCGTGCATTCGGTTGAAGGATTTGGGCACTGGCAGCTGGGGAGCTAGGGGAATACAGCCAATTACATGGGCGGTCGTTTACAATGCAGGCAGAGCATAAGACATGCATAGCGCATGGTTAGCACATGCCAAGATACATAAATAAGGTTCCTGGCCTTCAACCACAAAAGCAAGACAGCAGTTGAGATGGAATTGGACGCCGCCAGAACTAGGCCGCGACCAATTGCAAGCATGGCACCTATGGTGCGACTATCCGTCTCCTCCTGCTTCTCCTGCTGCTGCTACTGCAGCTGCTAATCAGAGCTCCTGTTTCTGCTGGCATTCATATTCGTTTGTGTGAAAACTAATATGCACTACTCCGAATGGTACTGACAATCGTGAGAACAAGTCAGACGACCAGCGAATACCCAAAGGCGACAGCGCTAGGGACGCTCCTGCGCTACATCAGTGATCCCAAGACCTGGATTTCGCGTCAGGGGTACCTGAAGCCTATAACCCCATGCCCCTAGCCCCTGCAACTGCCCTGAAACCCTAAGCCCTAAACCCTCAACTGAAACCCTAAAACCCCCAAACCCCGCACCAGAAGGATTTTTGTTCACGCCGAACCTCACGCAGATTGTGGGCAGCGACTTCATTCGGAATCGTGCCATGTCTCGGACTGGTGTAGGGTTCTCACTACTATAGAGGCCTAAATAGTTACCTAGACTATACTGGGGGGTCCTTATTATAGTTATAGTATAGTATACCCCAAACCCGATTAAAATTGTTAAAGCCCCTACATTCTGTGTTTACAGGGCTTCTAGGGTTTATAGGGCTTTTTGATTTTGGTCTTATAGATAGGGTTTATGGGACTTACAAGGCTTACGGGGCTTGTGGGCGTGTAGGGCTCATGAGGCTCATTGAGTTTCTATATGGGTGTGAAGGGGTGCATAAGGGGGTTGGAGTGTTAAAGGATGTCTAAATTGCAGGTTTCCACAAAGGATTCTGAGGAATTAGGGTGCTACCACCGATCGTCGCACTCTGTGGTGGACCGAGCTTTCTGGGAGTACCCACTCCTTCCTGTATGGCTTTTACATTTCCTTGTAAACTGGACCATAGGACAATCCGAATCCTGGTGTTAAAGAGCTGTTGGCGAACCTAGTGTTTTTTTGTCCTGCCATCCTGTGCACTTGACCGTCCGTTTCGTTGTGCATTCTCAAAAAACGGACAAGGCACAAGGTAAAGGGGCCAAGCCCCGACAGAAGAAATTTTGTTTTACGCACATCGCGTGTCCTCTGCAGGTTTTCTTGTTCCGGGTTCTAGAAGAATTTGCTGTTGTCATCCAAGACTGAATGGCGCAAGGTTCAGAACGGTTATGTGAAATGTGAGCGTGAGTTTGGTATCCTCATCCCAGAATGGCTATTTTAAGCTCGACAGACCCATCTCTAAACCCTAAGTCAAAGCGCAACAGCAGAGCATGGGCCAAGAAGAGGCCATGTGACGCATTTCTATTGTCAGTGTAAGGGGTTGAAAATTACTACAACCAGGAAGAATAATATCCCCGTTCAAACCCATAAACTGATACTATAGTGCACCGTAAGCTTGAGGCAGGAGCTTGTCAACTTACAACAACTGTCTACCCGCCCCCAAGCCCGAAACTAGAAATATCGAATCGCTAATGTAACACAATATATATATATATATATACAGATATATACACACATATTTATATGTGTATGTACATACATACACACACGCACATAACTTAACCTACCCAATCCTACTTTTTTGCAGGGTCCCATATATTCTCGGTTCGGGTTCATGACAAGGGCCTTCAACAAGTAGGTTATTGTAAGTTGGGGCATAAGTTGGGGCATGTATTTTTAACATATATAGATATGTTTGCCCATCTACCTGCCTATCTATGTTCACGTCTACCTACATATACACTAATGATGGTGTTTGGCGATGGGTGAGGACGATGATGATGATGGTGATGCGGAGGAGGAGGAGGAGGGTAATCAAGATGACGAGGATGATGATGGTGATCCCAGTAGCAGAGTAGGTAACCTTCAACCTTTTTTTGGTGGTATAATAACCCCTGCATAATCCCGAAGGTTAACCGTGAGTTCCGCGAGGATACTGAGCAAGGACATGGAGATGATGACGATTACGATCATGATGATGATGGTGATGATAATGGTGATGATGATGATGATGGTGATGGTGATGATGATGATGATGATGATGATGATGACGATGATGATGCTGACAATGATGGTGGTGCTGATGATGATGACGATAATGGTGATGATGGTGATGGTGATGATGATGATGATGACGATGATGAAGATGACAATGATGATGGTGCTGATGATGATGACGATGATGATGATGATGACAATGGTGATGGTGATGATGATGAGGAGGAGGAGGAGGCCTCTAGGAGGCCTGCTATGTATCGTATCTCCCGTCTTCTTCAAGCTAGAATTAGAAGCAAGAGCCCGCGCATCTCTAAGTGAAGCACTTGGAGGGGGTATTATATAAGAGGTATTAAGTCGGGTAAATATAACTATAACCCATGTTAGGGGACTTATAGCCCCAGTTATGTAACTACCCATGAACCTCAAAGCAGAGGTGTAGATATGCTTCAACCCGATCTTCACATCTTCGGGCGGCTCGGCACGTGTTCTAGAAAGCTGGCTTGGGCGTGATGTAGGTGTCTGAATAAGTAGTATAATCTGGAAAACCAAAATTCGATGGGGGCGGAGTGTCACGACGATCTTATTCAATTCAGGCACAAATCTTTCAGAGTATGTCTAGGATTTTGGGGCTTCGGTCGGGTTTGGGTTTTAGGGTTTAGGGTTAAGGTTTCGGCATCGAGTGCACGGTTCAGGCTTGCTGTTTCTCGTCTTCGTGTCGCGGTGGAGACGGCAAGGAGCGAGAATCACAACACTCCACCTACATGATTCCTTGCGATCTGGCAGAGTTGACCTCTTCTAATCAAAGAACGTCAGAACGGTCAAGGGCTGAGAGTTCCAAGGTATACGGTTTTAGGCTTTAGGGTTGTTGGCTTTACAACCTAGACCCTATAAACTATAAGCCCTAAATTCAAAAGCCCTAAACCTTTATAAGGCCATCAAGTCAAGGGGCTTCGCGTAAGGGAGTATCCCGTCCCAATTTGCAGACCCCTGAAGCTGCCCCCCTCGCGTGTATTACCGCAGGCAGTCTAGGGCCGGGGTTGAAGAAGCTGTTGCAGAAGCCAACAACACAAGTTGTAGTAGTATTCCTTTACAATCCCTAAACCCTAAAACCCTAAACCGTTATTGTCTCTAGTTTACTTACCTAAACCCTAAACCCTAAAACCATCAACCGTTATATTGTCTCTCAGTTACTTGAGCTGTAGACACTGGAACCCGAGACTCCAAACCTAGTGTTCTCATCAGTCAGGCCCCGGGATGCTGCTTCGTTGGTTTCTTTTTGGGGGCTTCGGAGTATAGGGTGATGTGTCTTGGAATTTAAATGCAATATGGGGACATATAATGACGAGAAGGGTGTGTCGAGCTAAATTCTACTAAAACTGTATGGGGACTGCAGGAGGACTAATTAATCTTATCCACCTCCATACTTACCTTAGACACACAACCGCATTTGCAGGGAGCTTCTCTCACGCAGCTGGGACCTTGCATGTCCTGTCTGCCAAGTAGTCCGAGTTTGTGTTAGTGCAGTTAAAAGGGTATCACTTTTGCTGTGAGAGCCTCTGAATCCTCAGACTACCCCTGGCCTTTGCCAGCAACAGAAGTACACAAGAACTCATGCATCATGATCGTTTGAACAGAAGGATCAGCAGTCAGAGCAACATTGTCGGCCCATAGTAATGCTGCTACTAAAATGGCAAACAAGCAGTGCTAACAACGATAGGAAGAGTTTGCTCAGAGAGCCCCATACCCTTGAATTAAGGAATACATATACCTTAGGTTTTTAGACCATAGTGTTAAGTATATTCTTAATTAAGCGATACCTCTGAATTAAGGAATAGACCTTGAATCATCATGTCCAATACATTCTTTAATTAGAAGGGTCTTGGACTCTCTGGGTGAACCGCTTCTCTGAGGCACTCACACTTTCCTTGGGACGCCACTCTCGGCGACGGCGTGCGCCATCTGCCAGCACGACGTTGGAGATTCAAGGAAACTAGGGATGAGGGTCGAAGGGTGCGAGGTTTTGGGGTGACTCAAAAATAGCTGCGATGGTGTTTCGGGCCAAGGAAGCGATACTCGGAGGGCCTTGACTAGGTGCCAGGGCACAGGGTCGTGGGCTGCTGTGTCTTCGGGTTAAGGTCTTAAGGACTGGAGGTGCGCGATGTCCTCCCTAACCCCTAAACCCTAAACCCTAAACCCTAAACCCTAAACCCTAAACCCTAAACCCTAACCCCTAAACCCTAAACCCTAAACCCTAAACCCTAAACCCTAACCCCTATGACACCGCAACCCAACGCTGTCACAACCGAGAGCCGAGAGCCAACCACTTTAACATACCAGGACCCCCCTTGTACCCTCACATAGGGGGGTTTAGGGTTTAGGGTTTAGGGTTTAGGGTTTAGGGTTTAGGGTTTAGGGTTTAGGGTTTAGGGTTTAGGGTGGGTATATTATGGTCCCGAATAAGGGGTATTGAGGGTCTACTAGAGGGTAAATGGAGGGTCTAGGTAAACATAAGACCAGAACACGACAGTCACGAAACTACACTTTGAGCTCGAAGCTTTGAAGCCGAATGGAGAGGCCTGACTAATCACTACTGTTAGTTCTGAGGGTTCCCAATTTTAATTATACTTGTGTAATATACCTCAAAACCTTATTCTAACTGTCAGGCCCCTAAGTTAAGCCCCAACCCCTAAACCCTCAAGCCCGCATGCCATGAAAATAATGTGCAAGGCTACAAATCCTGGCCGCTGGGCACACCAGCGGAGCAAGCCAGGCTAGGTTTC